ATAAGGGTAGCTGCGCAGCGTGTGACGCGGCGCAGGACCAGTACGATCACGTTATTCTGTTATTATTTATTTTGGTTATTCGTTGATTTTGTAATTTTTATTTTCAATTAAATATTTCTAGCCATTTATTTTTTAGTTAAATTTTTTTTTTTTTTTTGTGGAATTGTTTTTGTGTAATTAGTTTGTTATGCGTACTCGCGTGACATGATTATAGTAATTCGAAGTTTTATGGTAATTTATATCATCCTGTACGTAAGTTCGTTAAATAAGGTTTGTAATTTTATAAGAATTGCGCTTCTTTTTTGTATTTTATATTTATTATATCTTTAATTTTGATATATTTGTATACGTATATAAATAAAGAAAAACATGATAGAGGAAAGTAAATGTAATTTATGTTAAAGCATTTAGCAATTGTAAGTAAATATATATTTATACTAGCATATTTTAACGTTTGTTTTACGAGGTAAATTTATATTTTCAATGTAAATATATAAACTTGTAATTTCATATTTTTTCATCTTAATTCGTATTTTTAGATAATTCAGCTCGCCTTCTTGTATTATGAGTTGTTTGTTGGATTACTTTTTCCTTGCCTTTGTTCAGCTTTTCACAATCGTGTATAGACTTTTTATTATCATTATCAGTAATTTCTTTATATTCGTTGTTCTTGTTTATGTTTTTATTGTTATGTTCATTTATACATTATTCATACAAGTCATTATCTTCATCGTAATCATCTTCTACCCTTGTATGTCTCGTTGAATTAGAATTTTCTATAACTGATTCACTCTTTTCCTTATTCGAGATCGCATTCGTAGTTTCAGAGATTCTAGACGTATTTTCATTAACATTTTGGTGTGCTGTTAGAAGTTTTGATCGAACAGACCTGTATAATTTTGTTGTTGTCTGAGAATTTCCTGTTTCACATGTCTTTCTTTTTATTCCATAATTGATATTAATATAGGAAATATCAACTGCATATATATATAGATCTTTTTCAATGACTTCCATTTGACCTACGATAAAAAGCATCGACTCAGTTGATCGGGTAGAATTCATCAAGTGTTTGAATCGGGTGTTATGGTAAGGAAATATAATTTTAATAGCGAAGCTATAATTTTGTCCAGCATAATCTTCAACCAGGACATTAATTATTGCATTTTCATCATCTATTTCTGTTGGCACATCTTGCATAATTCCTATAAGTGAAGCTTTTAAAGGGCATCTGTTTGAACTGAGATCCCTCTTGATTGTGAGATGGGTCGAACAAGCGACTGTCATCTAAATTTAATAAAATTAGATATATGTCTACAATTCATATTATATTCTAAATCAGATTCACGTAACTTTTAGTTTTAAACTGCCGTTAAAGTTTGCAAACACTATTTTTCCACCAACACAATAAAATTCATTTTTCTCAAAAATTGATTGAGTGTTAGGATCTCTATCTTCATCGTTTATTGGAATGAATAAGACCATTTCTAGTTCGTGATCTTCGCTCTCGATAGGATAAGTACCGGTAGCATATATTGTTAATTTAGTTTCATCTTTGTAGGTTTGACGAATTTGATTTATTTTTACAATTGTATCAACATGACAGGGCATGATAAGTTATTTAAATTTTACGACGGTTTTTAATTTTTATACTTCGATAATAATTCTTTTATATTTTTTGAGAATCTTATGTTGTAATATTTTCATCATATGAAATTTTTCTCACAGATGTGGAATAAAGGATATTAAAAGAAATCAGAATCAATTTAATTATGTAATTCTAGTTGTTATAATCTAAATAAAGTAGTTCATATTTTATTATTGCCATACATTTATTCGTGCGATTTGAATTATTCTTGATGTAAATATACCATAAATATGGTAAGGTTTTTATTATTTTAATTTTTTTTTTATTAGTAGTCGAATATAGCTTTATATCATAAACATGTGTACTTCAAGATTTTAGCATTATTCACACGAATGCAATGTCATAATTTGTTGTATAATTTTAATTGAATCAAATTTCTAGTTCATTACAATATTAAGAATAATATGTTGAAGATTTATCCAACATAATTTTAGTTTTTGTATGGATTGCTTTGTTGGGTTCAAATGAGATTACGGTGGTTTTTCTGTGTGGTTTCAATCATTGAATTAAAGTGAATGATGATCAATGCCTTTTTTTTTTTATCATCCTTCGAAATTGAAATAACCAAATACCAGATAGTTTTCAGAACTGTTAACGGCTTATTCCGAAGCCGGTTTTAGCTGGTGTTGCAGCTTTTAACTATGACCTAGCTATGGCTCAAGTTGCAGTAAATAATATCGATAAGATTGTCATAACCAAAAATTCTGAATTCAGGGTGTGGGAATACTTTAATTTTGGGTTTGTATCCTTTAACGTTTTTATGGGAATTTTGGGTTTGTGTGCTTACTCATTTTTGATCGTCCATAACCGAAAGCTGTTAGAATTTTAGGTTTGTTCGTTTTACTGATTTTGATTGGTTGTAACTGAAAACTTTGAATTCGGCGTGTGGAAATTTCGGATTTATGCACTTTAACGTTTTTGAGAAAATATTTGATTGTCACTTTAACATATTTAGTTGAATTTGACGTTTTTAAATGATCAGATTCAGAAAAATCCAAAAAACTATGTGAGAAAAAGTTTTAAATATAAGAAGATGAATGAACAATTATAATTATTACGTATTTTAACGTCATATGTTCATGACATTTGGAATTAAAGTTACCAATTACGTAATTACAATTTTTCGAATTGATGTTATTTATTGATTAGAATATAAATATTTACCTGATCATAATATTTCAAAGAATTAAATAAATTTTAAAGTAATTGAATGAATACGCGTTTTGAAATCCTAACTATGAAATTGTAATATTTTGAATGAAGTTACTTCTTAATAGACATTTTTTCATTATTATATTTTGAAGTATTCTCTGATTACGGCATTATGAAGTCTAATTACGACATTGTGACATACACTAAATTAAAGACATTTTTTATTATATAATTACTTTTCGATTTCAATATTATGAATTAAAGTTACTTCATAATTATGACATTTAGAATTAAATCTTGAATTATCTTGAATAATCAAGTTTTTATTTCCGATCATGATGTTATTAATCATTTGCATTCCACAGCATACGTA